TACAATATTGCAGTAGTCTGCATAACAGTAAATCTTCCATATTTTGTTAGAATAAAAATTCAAAATAGAAAGCTAGAGTAATATCAGAGGGGCCTGGAGACATGACTGATGAACAAAGAAAATGTTATTTTAGAGCCAGGAATGTCTGCATTGTTCATTCTGGACCCTATTTTGAAATTGTCATATTTTTTAATTTTCGTGAAATTGGCCAAATTGCAAATTTCTGACCATGTTATTGGGTAGTTGAAATCGTTAAATGGCCAGTTTCTTGTACTCAGTCAATAGAAAAAATGGAGTTCTAAAGAAATAGCTACGAGTTTCATCGACTGCAACAATGGAATTAGCCGAAAATAGGGCTCAAAGTGGGGGAAATCGCAGATTCGTAAATATCGCCGAGGTCGCTAAATTCGCGAGAGCATAATTCTGTTAGTTTTCCATCAAATTTCGTTCATTTGGTGTCATTACAATCGGCAAAAGATTCTCTATCATTTCATAAAAATAATTTTTTTTTTCTGAAATTTTGCGACACCAGGAGACACCTCAGGATTTGGGGTTGAGACAGTCAAAGGGTTAAAGTGCAAGCATTGTACTTCCCATTTCCAGTACTCAAGTCCGGCTACATAAAAATAACCAGTCTCCCTGAATCCCTTCACTAAATATTACCCTGCTCACACTCCAACAGCTCATCAGGTCCTAAATACTATTCGTCTCCATTCATTCCTATCTAACATGCTCACGCACGCTTGCTGGAAGTCCAAGCCCCTCACCCACAAAACCTACTTTACCCCCTCCCTCCAACCTTTTCAAGGACGACCCCACTCCGCCTTCCTCCTCCTACAGATTTATATGCTCTCCATGCCATTCTACTTTGATCCATTCTCTCTAAATGACCAAACCACCTCAACAACCCCTCTTCAGCTATCTAACTAATACTTTTATTAACTCCACACCTTCTCCAAATTTCCACACTCCGAATTCTATGCATAATATTTACACCACACATTGCCCTTAGATAGGACATCTCCACTGCCTCTAACCGCCTTCTCGATGCAGCATTTACAACCCAAGCTTTACACCCATATAAGAGTGTTGGTACCACTATATTTTCATATATTCCCTTCTTTGCCTCCATACATAACGTTTTTTGTCTCCACATATACCTCAACGCACCACTCACTTTTTTTTCTTCATCAATTCTATGCTTAACCTCATCCTTCATAAATCCATCCACTGACATGGCAACTCCCAAATATCTGAAAACATTCACTTCTTCCATACTCCTCTCAAATTTGATATCCATTTTTTTTTTTATCTAAATCATTTGATACCCTCATCACCTTACTATTTTCTATGTTCACTTTCAACTTTCTACCTTTACGTACACTCCCAAACTCGTCCACTAACCTTTGCAACTTTTCCTTAGAATCTCCCATAAGCACAGTATCATCAGCAAAAAGTAACTGTGTCAACTTCCATTATGTATTTGATTCCCCATAATTTAATCCCACCCCTCTCCCGAACACCCTAACATTTACTTCTTTTACAACCCCATCTACAAATATATTAAACAACCATGGTGACATTACACATCCCTGTCTAAGACCTACTTTTACCATCAAGTTATCTCCCTCTCTGCTACACACCCTAACCTGAGCCTCACTATCCTCATAAAAACTCTTTACAGCATTTAGTAACTTACTACCTATTCCATATACTTGCAACATCTGCCACATTGCTCCCCTATCTACTCTATCATATGCCTTTTCTAAATTCGTAAATGCAATGAAAACTTCCCTACCTTTACCTAAATACTGTTCACATATATCCTTCAATGTAAACACTTGATCTACACATCCCCTACCCACTCTAAAACCTCCTTGCTCATCCACAATCCTACATTCTGTCTTGCCTCTAATTCTGTCAATAATAACCCTACTGTACACTTTTCCTGGTATACTCGGTAAACTAAATAGTCTATAATTTTTACAATCTCTTTTGTCCCCCTTCCCTTTCTCTGCCAATTCCTAGGTACCTTCCTTTTGCACTCTCTCACCACTCTCTTAACCGTTCTTTTACTCTCCATATACTCTGCTCTTATAACACTTCTGCTTTGTAAAAACCTCTCATAAGCTAACTTTTTCTCTTTTATCACACCCTTTACTTCGTCATTCTACCAATCACTCCTCTTTCCTCCTGCACCCACCCTCTTATAGCCACAAACATCTGCCCCACATTCTAATACTGCATTTTTAAAACTATTCCAACCCTCTTCAACCCCCCCACTACTTACATTAACCCTTTCAGGGTCCAAGGCCAAAATCTGAAGTGGTGCCCCAGTGTCCAAAAATTTTCAAAAAAAAGAAAAAAATTGTTATTTTTTCTTATGAAATGGTGGAGAATCTTTTTGTGAAGGTAATAAAACAAAATGTACGAAATTTGATGGAAAATTGACGAAATTATGCTCTCACGAATTTTGATGTGTCAGCGATATTTACCAACTTTGACTTCCCATTTTAGGCCAATTACATTATTCCAGTCAACCAAATTCTTAGCTATTTCACTAGTATTACTTCTATTCTATCGATTGAGCACAAGAAATTGCCAAGTCAACTGTTTCAACTACAAAATAAAGTGATCGGAAATTGGTAATTTGGCCAATTTAACACAAAGTTCAAAATATTCCAAATTCAAAATAGGGTCCAGAATAAACAATGTAGGTATTCCTGGCACTAAACTAACATTTCCTCTGTTCATTAGTTATGGTTTGAGGCTTTACAAATAAATTCCATTTTGATTTTTTATTCACATAATTGCCCTCAGACATGAGGCAGTGGAGATGTCATGTCTGAGGGCAATGTATGGTGTGAATATAATGCAGAGAATTCGTAGTTTGGAAGTTAGGAGGAGGTGCGGGATTACCAAAACTGTTGTCCAGAGGGCTGAGGAAGGGCTGTTGAGGTGGTTCGGACATGTAGAGAGAATGGAGCGAAACAGAATGACTTCAAGAGTGTATCAGTCTGTAGTGGAAGGAAGGCGGGGTAGGGGTCGGCCTAGGAAAGGTTGGAGAGAGGGGGTAAAGGAGGTTTTGTGTGCAAGGGGCTTGGACTTCCAGCAGGCATGCTTGAGCGTGTTTGATAGGAGTGAATGGAGACAAATGGTTTTTAATACTTGACATGCTGTTGGAGTGTGAGCAAAGTAACATTTATGAAGGGGTTCAGGGAAACCGGCAGGCCGGACTTGAGTCCTGGAGATGGGAAGTACAGTGCCTGCACTCTGAAGGAGGGGTGTTAATGTTGCAGTTTAAAAACTGTAGTGTAAAGCACCTTTCTGGCAAGACAGTGATGGAGTGAATGATGGTGAAAGTTTTTCTTTTTCAGGCCACCCTGCCTTGGTGGGAATCGGCCAGTGTGATAATAAAAAAAAATAATAATGAATTTTTATTCACACGAAAAAATAGAAGATTTACTGTTATGCAATATTGTAATAATTGTATAAATATCATCACCACATTTGTGAATGTATATTAGATCTACCCCGCCTTCCTTCCCCTACAGATTTATACGCTCTCCATGTCATTCTACTTTGATCCATTCTCTCTAAATGACCAAACCACCTCAACAACCCCTCTTCAGCCCTCTGACTAATACTTTTATTAACTCCACACCTTCTCCTAATTTCAACACTCCGAATTTTCTGCATAACATTTACACCACACACTGCCCTTAGACAGGACATCTCCACTGCCTCCAACTGCCTCCTCACTGCTACATTCACAACCCAAGCTTCACACCCATATAAGTGTGTTGGTACTACTATACTTTCATACATTCCCTTCTTTACCTCCATAAGTAACATTTTTTTGTCTCCACATATACCTCAATGCACCACTCACCTTTTTCCCTCATCAATTCTATGTTTAACCTCATCCTTCATAAATCCATCCGCCGACACATCAACTCCCAAGTATCTGAAAACATTCACTTCTTCCATACCCCTCCTCCTCCCCAATTTGATATCCAATTTTTCTTTATCTAAATCATTTGATACCCTCATCACCTTACTCTTTTCTATGTTCACTTTCAACTTTCTACCTTACACACACTCCTAAACTCATCCACTAACCTTTGCAATTTTTCTTTAGAATCTCCCATAAGCACAGTATCATCAGCAAAAAACAAGTGTCAATTCCCATTTTGTATTTGATTCCCATAATTTAATCCCACCCCTCTTCCAACACCCGAGCATTTACTTCTTTTACAACCCCATCTATAAATATATTAAATAACCAGATATATCAGATCCTTATTTAGTTGTAGCTACGGTGAGATTAAGTGGTAGATTGGGCACAGGAAGAATAAAATCAGCAAGACAGAGGTGAAAGTTAATAAACTAAAGGAGGAAGTTTGGGTAAGTTACAAGGAACTTGGACATCTAGCAGGCATGAGTAAGCCTGTTAAGGTAGGAGTGGAGACATGATTTTTGGAACTTGATGAGCTGTTGGAGTGTGAGCAAGGTAACATTTCTAAAGGGTTTCAGGGAAACCAGTTTACTTGACTTGAGTCTCGGAGGGATGGGAACATTTGCAGTTTGGAGGGGCATCTGAACTGTAATATCAGCATACCCCTGGCAAGACAGTTGTACAGTGAATGGTGGTGAAAGTGTTTCTTCTTTTTGGGGTCACCCTACCTCAGTGGGAGATGGATGGTGTAAAAAAAAAATTTATGCCCTTGGTTCTAAAAAAAAGGACCAATAAATGTATTTAAGAAGCAGTGCTAAACCCAGAAGGGTCATACAACACTGCAGGCAGGAATGTGTGGAAAGAGAAATGTGCAAGGGTGTTGAGGGAATGAAAGGAAAGTGTGCAAGGGCAGAGGCTAGTGGAGGTTGGAGAGATTGCAAAAGAAAAAGGTAAATCACAGTTGGTCATATGGAGGATAGTATCCCTTATACCAGTGACCTATTATCTACAAAAATAATTAATAACTACATTTTTCTCTCACCTGAACCAAGCCAAGCACCAAGATATCTGGACAATGTTGGATGGGAAACTTGAACAGCTCCTTGACAGCTGTAAGATGACCAGATTCACCAAGGCAGAGAAGGGTTTCCAGTAGATGAACAGATTTCCATGTTGCCACCTGTAAATCAACATACAGAACTGTGAATTATTTCAATTAGCCAACTATACTGTTCTTAAAATGGTAAATATTACCAAATCAATATTTAAACTACTTGTTTTGTTTCAAACTGCAACTGTAGTAAGTGCATGCAATATCCAGCACCCAAAAACTTTTATAGCATGACTTAACATGGCAGTTTCAAATGCATAACTGAAAAATAAAATATTTCAATATATACCTCTTTGTTATCAAGTTCTGGCAGTGTTTTAAGGCAATCAGTCGACACCAAGATACAAGGAAAATCAAGGAAACAAAATATTTCAGGAGCCTTGAGAATCTGTGTAATAAGATTTAGTTGCTCTTCACTGTTTTTCCACTGGTGATAGAAGTAATCCACAGGGAACACTTCCCACCTTAAGCCTTGGCCTTGAAGAAGACATCTAGAAAGATAATGAAAGATTTAGGTAGATAAACTGTCCAAATTAAAATTTAAGAACCTACCTTTTTTTTTATTATCCAGTGCACTTGTATCACAGTCAAACACTGGCAAGCCAGCAGTTACTGCTGCTGTGGCCCATAATGAGGTCATTGGCTATCCCATTCATGTGTCCTTATGTACATCTTGCTGCTTCCCCACCACAGAACCAGCACCACTGAATGAGTCATCTTGTGACAGAGCTTGCATCCCATTTTTTTTATTCCACAACATATAGACTAACAATTGTAAGTGATAGAAAAATTGTAAAAATAATTCTATGGACAGCATAACAAAGTCTGACAAATTACTAGGGCCAAATCTTACCTGAGAGCAGTGATTAGCAGCTTTAAGCCTTGTCTGTCCTTTACTAAGAATCCTCTGTGATCTAATTTCATAGTTATCTCTTTACTATTAATACTCGGAACAACTTCAAGGAGCCCCTTGATAAAAATTTCTACATTCCAACCATGAGGACAAGAAAGATTTCCTGATCCACCCAAACCCACTTCATTTGCTGGGGCTGTCTGTGACTGGTTGTTTGGGGCCTTATCTTTATTGTCACTCCACAGTGAGCTGGGTGAATTTAGGTTCTGAAGTCCAATCTGTTGGAAAAGTTTGACAATTTTTAATTGTACGAAAAGTATTTCAACTCCACTAAAAGGAATGCATTATTATTAGTAAAGTACTAGGTATAAGCATAAACCTAATGTATATCATGCTTTGTAGCCAGAATATATCAACCTGACATGTTATTTATTTTTTTTTTTTAACAAGTCGGTCGTCTCCCACCGAAGCAGGGTGACCAAAAAAGAAAGAAAATCCCCAAAAAGAAAATATTTACATCATCATTCAACACTTTCACCTCACTTACACACAATCACTGTTTTTACAGAGATGCTCAGAATACAACAATTTAGAAGCAAATACATATAAAGATACACAACATATCCCTCCAAACTGCTAATATCCTAAACCCCTACTTTAAAGTGTAGGCACTGTACTTCCCATTTCCAGGACTCGAGTCCGGCTATATAAAAATAACCAGTTTCCCTGAATTTTTTTTTTTTTTTTCAACAAGTCGGCCGTCTCCCACCGAGGCAGGGTGACCCAAAAAAACAGAAAGAAAATCCCCAAAAAGAAAATACTTTCATCATCATTCAACACTTTCACCACACTCGCACATTATCACTGTTTTTGCAGAGGTGCTCAGAATACAACAGTTTAGAAGCATACACATGTAAAGATACACAACATATCCCTCCAAACTGCCAATATCCCAAATCCCTCCTTTAAAGTGCAGGCATTGTACTTCCCTGAATCCCTTCACTAAATATTACCCTGCTCACGCTAGAACAGCTCATCAGGTTACAAATACCATTTGTCTCCATTCACTCCTATCCAACACACTCATACACGCTTGCTGGAAGTCCAAGCCCCTCGCCCACAAAACCTCCTTTACCCTCTCCCTCCTACCTTTTCGAGGACGACCCCTACCCCGCCTTCCTTCCCCTACAGATTTATACGCTCTACATGTCATTCTACTTTGATCCATTCTCTCTAAATGACCAAACCACCTCAACAACCCCTCTTCAGCCCTCTGACTAATACTTTTATTAACTCCACACCTTCTCCTAATTTCCACACTCCGAATTTTCTGCATAATATTTACACCACACATTGCCCTTAGACAGGACATCAAAACCGCCTCCAGTCGCCTCCTTGCCACAGCATTTACAACCTAAGCTTCACACCCATATAGGAGTGTTGGTACCACTATACTTCCGTACATTCCCTTCTTTGCCTCCATGGGTAACGTTTTATTTGTCTCTTGGAGAGTGGATAAATCTGTAGGGAAAGAAAGGCGGGGGTAGGTCATCCTTGAAAAGGTTGGAGGGAGGGGGTAAAGGTTTTGGGGGAGAGGGGCTTGGACTTCCAGCAAGCATGCGTGAGCATGTTAGATAGGAGTGAATGGAGACGAATGGTTTTTGGACCTGACGATCTGTTGGAGTGTGAGCAGGGTAATATTTTGTGAAGGGATTCAGGGAAACCGGTTAGCCGGACCTGAGTCCTGGAAATGTGAAGTACAATGCTGTACTTTAAAGGAAGGATTGGGGATATTGGCAGTTTGGAGGGAATTCTAAACTGTCATATCTGAGCACTTCTGCAAAGACAATGATTAGGTATGAGTGATGGTAAAAGTGTTGAATGATGATGAAAGTATTTTTCTTTTTATTTGGGGTCACCCAACCTCAGTGGGAAACGACCAATGTGTTAAAAAAAAAAATCTTCAATATGAAAATCCATATACAATATAACTAAGTTTAGCTCCAGCAGAGCTAACTAACATTTCACTGAAACTGCCAATCAACAAAACCCCTCATGCATGAAGTAACTTTCAACAAGACAAGTCCCACCAATGTCTTCACTGAATGAGCCTAATTTCTAATTACCATTTTAAGTCATATTCCACAGTGTCTTGCCTAAAACAACATAAGAATATATAATAACTCATTTTAAATAGATTCTCCCTGCATGGGGAGTATTGCCTTGACACTAGTGAAAGATTCATCTAAGGAATTTGAGTTACCTTTCCCTTCCCTTCCTTGAATCAAACCTGTTTGCCTCCCCATTTCCCAAGTGCTGTATTAACATTAGAGGTGACAGCTTCCCCATAAATACAATAATATAATAAACTATTACAAAATTTCCAAATCAATGTAATATTGTCCCAGTAGAAATATGGATTATATGGAGAGTAAAAGAAAGGTAAAGAGAGTGGTGAGAGAGTGCAAAAGGAGAGCAGATGATAGAGTGGGAGAGGCACTGTCAAGAAATTTTAATGAAAATAAGAAAATTTTTTGGAGTGAGTTAAACAAGTTAAGAAAGCCTAGGGAAAGTATGGATTTGTCAGTTAAAAACAGAGTAGGGGAGTTAGTAGATGGGGAGATGGAGGTATTAGGTAGATGGCGAGAATATTTTGAGGAACTTTTAAATGTTAAGGAAGAAACAGGCAGTAATTTCATGCACTGATCAGGGAGGTATACCATCTTTTAGGAGTGAAGAAGAGCAGAATGTAAGTGTGGGGGAGGTACGTGAGGCATTACGTAAAATGAAAGGGGGTAAAGCAGCTGGAACTGATGGGATCATGACAGAAATGTTAAAAGCAGGGGGAGATATAGTGTTGGAGTGATTGGTACTTTTGTTTAATAAATGTATGAAAGAGGGGAAGGTACCTAGGGATTGGCGGAGAGCATGTATAGTCCCTTTATATAAAGGGAAAGGGGACAAAAGAGACTGTAAAAATTACAGAGGAATAAGTTTACTGAGTATACCAGGAAAAGTGTACGGTAGGGTTATAATTGAAAGAATTAGAGGAAAGACAGAATGTAGGATTGCAGATGAGCAAGGAGGTTTCAGAGTGGGTAGGGAATGTGTAGATCAAGTGTTTACATTGAAGCATATATGTGAACAGTATCTAGATACAGGTAGGGAAGTTTTTATTGCATTTATGGATTTAGAAAAGGCATATGATAGAGTGGATAGAGGAGCAATGTGGCAGATATTGCAAGTATATGGAATAGGTGGTAAGTTATTAAATGCTGTAAAGAGTTTTTATGAGGATAGTGAGGCTCAGGTTAGGGTGTGTAGAAGAGAGGGAGACTACTTCCCGGTAAAAGTAGGTCTTAGACAGGGATGTGTAATGTCACAATGGTTGTTTAATATATTTATAGATGGGGTTGTAAAGGAAGTAAATGCTAGGGTGTTCGGGAGAGGGGTGGGATTAAATTTTGGGGAATCAAATTCAAAATGGGAATTGACACAGTTACTTTTTGCTGATGATACTGTGCTTATGGGAGATTCTAAAGAAAAAATTGAAAAGGTTAGTGGATGAGTTTGGGAATGTGTGTAAAGGTAGAAAGTTGAAAGTGAACATAGAAAAGAGTAAGGTGATGAGGGTGTCAAATGATTTAGATAAAGAAAAATTGGATATCAAATTGGGGAGGAGGAGTATGGAAGAAGTGAATGTTTTCAGATACTTGGGAGTTGACGTGTCGGCGGATGGATTTATGAAGGATGAGGTTAATCATAGAATTGATGAGGGAAAAAAGGCGAGTGGCATGTTGAGGTATATGTGGAGTCAAAAAACGTTATCTATGGAGGCAAAGAAGGGAATGTATGAAAGTATAGTAGTACCAACACTCTTATATGGGTGTGAAGCTTGGGTGGTAAATGCAGCAGCGAGGAGACGGTTGGAGGCAGTGGAGATGTCCTGTTCAAGGGCAATGTGTGGTGTAAATATTATGCAGAAAATTCGGAGTGTGGAAATTAGGAAAAGGTTGTGGAGTTAATAAAAGTATTAGTCAGAGGGCAGAAGAGGGGTTGTTGAGGTGGTTTTGGTCATTTAGAGAGAATGGATCAAAGTAGAATGACATGGAAAGCATAAAAATCTATAGGGGAAGGAAGGTGGGGCAGGGGTCATCCTCAAAAGGGGTTTGGGGAGAGAGGGGGGTAAAGGAGGTTTTGTGGGCAAGGGGCTTGGACTTCCAGCAAGCGTGCGTGAGCGTGTTAGATAGGAGTGAATGGAGACGAATGGTACTTGGGACCTGACGATCTGTTGGAGTGTGAGCAGGGTAATATTTAGTGAAGGGATTCAGGGAAACCGGTTATTTTCATATAGTCGGACTTGAGTCCTGGAAATGGGAAGTACAATGCCTGCACTTTAAAGGAGGAGTTTGGGATATTGGCAGTTTGGAGGGATATGTTGTGTATCTTTATATGTGTATGCTTCTAAACTGTTGTATTCTGAGCACCTCTGCAAAAACAGTGATAATGTGTGAGTGTGGTGAAAGTGTTGAATGATGATGAAAGTATTTTCTTTTTGGGGATTTTCTTTCTTTTTTGGGTCACCCTGCCTTGGTGGGAGACGGCCGACTTGTTGAAAAAAAAAAAAAAATAACTTCACTTCTCCATGTACAGCTTCAGTCAAATGACGCTTTCTGTTTAAATCTTGAATGCAAGTTGATTAGATTTAACGAGCATTGTCTTACCTGCTCAGATGGTAAACCCGTATGAGTTCGAACCATAACACCCAAGACCTTGGCTACAGCTGCTGGGGTTATGGAACTCACCCCAAAATTGGCCAGATTGTTTCTACATTCTTCCACAGTATTGCAGAAACTATAGCCTAACTCTAAGACTAGATCAGCTAATGAACCATCAAGCTGAAAAAAATTAACTTTGATTTTTGAAAGATGCATTTTCAATAATATTCACTGAACCATTAATACAATTTTTTTTAACTTAAACCAATTTGTAAAATTTTACAATATACAAACATTACCAACTTCATATATTTTTTCCATGACTTAATAACCACTTTCATGACCAGAATCTCAAACATGTTAATCTGTCAACCTTCAAGGCCAACTTATAAATAAAACAATATTGTACTATAAAGGAACTATCTGTATGCACTGTGTAAAACTTACAAGATTTTTTGCCATGTTGGCAGGTGGTTCTTGAGTTATTTTCTCCATAGGAATGTCAGAGTCTGGGTAAAGTAGTGGAGCAAGAACCACAGGGACACGTGACCGGGGAAATTCTCGCTGTAGAGTGCTAATGAAGGCCTGCCTCGACTCTTGAGGTAGTAGTGCAGTAGGTGGATCCCTCCAAAGATGAACAATGTGAGTTAGCAACAGGTGCAGGGATTCTGTTGATAGCTCCAACAACTCCCGGTCCCCCGATTCTGAAAAATACAAATTAAACATTCTTAATATATAAGTATTAACAATAAAATCAAGAATGGAAGTACAAAATATCAAAATTCATGATCTACAATAAAAATAGTGTGGTTAAATTAGAAAATACATGAAAAATTATCAAAAAATTATAAAAGAATGAACAAGTTACTTAACCATTCATTAACCCTTAAGCTGCCAGTGACAAATTTATGCCAAGTGGAAAAATGCCTTTGACATATTTTTACCCCAAATTTCGAAGACCTTCAAAATGGTCCCAAATGGCTTGGTTATAACTCCATCAGAGAAAACAGGTCTGTGCCATAGGTGTGAACAGAAATAAAAACATTGACAACTTAAGTAACAAACTAAAGGTTCATCAACAGTCTTCAAGATGCTTCATTTCTAGAAAATATAAGTGTTGAGCTTCATCAAATGCAACTACTTGAGAAAAGAAAACAGGATTATACTATTACTTCTCAACCTGAAATTACTAACTGGCTAAAATTATACTGTGATGTTTACATAGCTCTGATAAGCTGGTGTGCATCAGTCTGACTTTGCCAATTCATTTAGCACGTGAATGTAGCTTTTCCTGCTTGCAACTGAAAAACTTACTTGAGGAACAGAAATAGTGATAGCAGAATAAGTGATATCTATAAATTCAAAAACAACCAACCACAACTACTCAAATACCCTGAGTTTCTCATTTGAGAGAATGAATCTATTATTTTCTTTGTGTATACCAAAACTGTACACTAACAAAGCCATTATTTTGATGGCAAGTTATACAGTCAACCCACAACTAACGGCGGCATTAAGTAATGGTAATTTCGTCTAACGGCGCTTTTTGCCATAGAAAAAATACCTTGACCAACGGCGAAAAACTTAACCAACGACATCAGTGTGCCATTGTTTACAAGCTGCTGTGGTCGGTTTCCATGTGTGCTTCCCACTCATTTTGAATAATTCCACTGTTTCTAGTACTTGTAACAGCTAAATAAGCCACCATGGGCTCCACGAAAGCTTCTAGAGCCAGCCCTTTGGTAAAGGATGTGAGAAACACGATAGAATTCAAGAAAAAGTTTGTAGAAAAATACCAAAGTGGCGGTGGTGGTAGTGATTGTGATAGTGGTAGAGGGTGGTACTGGTTACGATGGTGGTAGAGGGTGGTCCAGTGATTCTCAAGCTGGTCCTAGTGGCATTAAAAAACCAAGAAGGGAGGTAACCTCACCAAAGGACTTGGTACCTGAAGTCTTTATGGAAGGGGATTCTCCTCCCAAGCAATACACAATCTTGAGTCTCCCCTGCTGCTGACACATCACTCATCAACAACTCCACAATAAAGGTAAGTGGCATTTAACTATTGTTTATTTTGCATGTCACATTCCTTTCCATATAAGGAAATGTATATTTCATGTAAAAAGATATTTTTTTTTTCAGACTTTGGGGTGTCAGGAACGGGTTAATTCTATTTCCATTACTATTTCTTATGGGGAAAATTAACTCGACCAACGGCAAGCCCTCTGGAATGGATTAATGCAGTTGGTTGAGGGTCCACTGTATACTGATCCAATTTAACATAATTTTTTTATCATTCTTTGATAAGGACAACCGTTTTCTCACTTGTATAAAGTGTGAATAAAAGTGTCTTTAGAATACAATGTTATTTTCACTGACCTGTAATATATCATATTTTACAGCAAACAAGACACTCGGGTGTCGAGGACACCCCGTAAAGTCTGGCTGGCCAAATTTTTTTTGGGGGGGAAAAAAAAGATCTCCATGGTAATAAAGTTGTGTTAAGCCCGAGGCATTACTTATAAAAACTCAAGTTGATGGTTCGCTCTGCCAGTCAGTGTCATCAACTAAAACACACTACATTTACGTGAAACAGCGATAAGAAACACGCCAGTATACAAATGATTATCTAGATCTGCTAAATCCCAATCCTGAGCTTAAACAGTTCTTACATCTAGAACTGTTAGCAAAATGTTCTTTGAGGAGTTAACCTAAATGGTTTACCACTCATAATGAGCAATGTTCAGCAATGAACAGAGACATGTACAGGTACTCCTCACTTAACAACTGCTCAAACTTAAGACCAGCCCTCTAACCAGTATACTGTATGTGTATTTCTGTTTTTTGTTTTTTTAATGCTTAGTTCTATTTTAATATACGTACTAAAAACGCTATAAATGGCATCAAGGCAATATTAAAACAATATCTAAAGATGGTTGACACAAACCCACTGTATGTACAGTATGCTTGAAATATCAGTAAGGGGTAGCTCCTCGCTTAATGTCCAATTCCCTTACCAACCTACTCTTAGGAACGGAACTCAAGTCATTATGAGAGGAGTAACTGTATTTCCCTTTGTTCTTACATCGCTTGGGTTTTCAAATTATTAAGTACAGGATCACAAAAACAGTTACACAAAATATTATATATAGTAACATATGTGTAAATTACCAAGGATAACCCAACCAGCAGACAAGTGAATTATTTCCATTGGGGTCCTTGCTTTCCATTGTTTGTTGCCGAGTACTGAATGGTTCTTTAGTTTTCTTGTGCTTGGCAGTATTTTTGTCTTCAATATCACTCAATTTAGCTGCAACTGAACATTTGCAGGACACTATCACTCATGTGAGTAACTTTTAGTACATGAATTGGACTTGGCCATGTTCTCTTTCTACTCACTATCTGGATGCATGCAAGTGGGTGTGTCTACAGCTAGGACTGCATATTCATTTATGATGGTTTCTTGGGAGTTTTTAAAAATATTTTATATTTATGTTTTTAAGTTTATTGATTTCACTATTTAATAAGAGTACATCTGTACTGCAGTGCCTGCACTTTGTAGGAGGGGTTTGGAATACTGGTTGTTTGGAGTGACATCTAAACTGTCGTATCTGAGCACCTCTCCAAAGACAGTGATTATGTATGAATGATGGTGAAGTGTTGAATGATGATGAAAGTTTTTTTCTTTCTTTCTGGGTCACCCTGCCTCAGTGGGAAATGGCAAACGTGTTAAAAAAAAGAAACTGTGCTGCAACACAACCAAAACAAACTTGCAGTGTGCAAATGGCAACTTCTGTGTATAACTACCATATACTGCAAAGGTTAGTGGACAAGTTTGGGAGGGTGTGTAAAGGAAGAAAGTTGAAAGTGAACAGAGATAAAAGTGAGGTGATGAGGGTATCAAATAAGTAAAGAAAAATTGAATATAACACTGGAGGGAGGAAATATGGAACAAGTAAATGTGTTCAGATACATTTGGGAGTAGACTGTCGGAAGATGGATTTATGAAGGATGAGGTTGACCATAAAACTGATGAAGGAAAAAAGGTCAGTGGGGCACTGAGGTATCTGCGAAGACAAAAAACATTATCCATGGAGGCAAAGAAGAGACTGTCTGTCTGTCTAGCTCTCTGTCTGCTTGTCTCTCTGTCTCTGTTTGTCGGTCTCAGAGAGAGCCACTCGTAAACCAACAGGTATTACACACGACTGCGTCGTCACATCTGATTTTTGAGCAAGTGTAAATATATATTACTTGCCAGTCATGCTTACTAGGCATTATATCTACAAGCACACTATATCACTTTGCCTGGATTTTTTGGGTTATCCTAGGTAATTTACACTATGTATGATTGTATTTACAGTACCTGTGAGACAGAGATAGACAGAGATACAGAGAAAGATATATGAAGATACAGACAGACAGAAATAGAGACAGCCAAAGTCAATCAGCCAGCCAAGCCAGCCACTGTCCAGCCAGCTGACTGGCCAGCAGCTGGCTTGGCTGGCTGATTGACATTGGCTGTCTCTTTCTCCGTCTGTCTGTCTGTATCCATATCTTTTTCTGTCTATCTGTTTCTATCTGTCTCCATCTCTGCCTCTCTATCTCTGTCTCTCTCTGTCTGTCTGTCTATCTCTCTATCTCTCTCTCAATCTCTATCTCTCTGTCTCTATCTCTGTCTCACAGGTACACACAAATACAATTATACATAGTGTAAATTAACCAAACCATACCACGGGCATAGTGTAAGTTACCTAGGATAACCCAAAAAATCCAGACAAAGTGATATACTGTGCTTGTAGACATAATGCATAGTAAGCATGACTGGTAAGTAATACATATTTACATTTTCTCAGGAATCAGATGTCATGATGCAGTCATGTGTAATACCTGTTGGTTCATGAATGGCTCTCTCTGAGACAGACAAGCAGAGAGAGAGACAAGCAGACAGACAGAAAGACAGATAAGCAGAGACAGAGAGACAAGCAGACAGACAAAGACAGATAAGCAGAGAGCTAGACAGACGGACAGGCAGAGCTAGACAGAGCGTCAGTCAGCCAGCCTGCCTGCTGAACATGTACTGTGCCTTCCAGAATTGTTTCTCTTTACTTAGGCCATAGATTATATGACATTCTGGCAGGATGACACTACCAGTGGTACCAAAATTAAAAGGGTATTGCACAAATGTTGCACATGGGTTATTATTGAGCTTTTTGATATTTCCTCGAACCCTTTTGACCACATCCACCTCAAAGCCACTAAACTCAGGGTCAACATCACCTTTATCTTAAAATGGGAGTGTTAATACTACATGACATCAGTGAATTCCAGGTGTTTTCTGCGCTGTTTGCTCTAGCTAGCGCTCAATTGAAATGGTGCTCCCACAAAGTCCTAAGTGGTCCCAGATTTTTTTAATACCATGCACACTGAGTGTTAAGACCCATTCTATGCTGACCAGGCATCTCAGGCCAATCATACCAAATTTGGAGGCAGGAAAAATAAAACGTAGATCTACGTTTGGAGCGCTAGCGGTAAGAATGTGCGATATCTACGTTTGGACAGTTCAGAGGTTAAGGGTAATGTGTGGTGTAAATATTATGCAGAGAATTCATAGTGTGGAAATTAAGAAGAGGTGTGGAGTTACTAAAAGTATTATTCAGAAGACTGAAGAGGGGTTGTTGAGGTCTTTTCATTATTTAGAGAGGATGGA